GAGCTTGGTGTTTTTGCAGGGAGAGGGATGTTAGATTCCCCATGTCAGTGAGATCACCCGAGTTCAGATTGAGTTTTGAGAAATATCATTAAATTGCGAAGCAGCAGAAATGATCACTTCTCTGAGGGAAGCCTTCCACCTTCCTATAATTCAAGCTCACGTGCTTTTTCCAACTCAACCTGAAACTTCTCTCATCTGTCCTGGGAGGAAGAAGTGGCCCTGCACACCCACAGGCTCCTTGCTGATGGCAGATGTTCTTTGGGGTCATTAATTCGATGGTGGACTGTCATGGTACAAAGAGTATCGTTCTACCCTGTGAGGTGAAGACAGTCTCCACCAGCTGGCTTTTCACGTCACATGCTCCAGTCTGTAAGATCACTGAAGGGGAAGCAGCAGAGGGTCTGGGCGGAGAGAGAAGGACCTGACCCGCTTATGCAAAGCCTCCCTCAGATTGGTGCTGAAAAGAGATGAGGGAAGGCAAAGATGGAAGCGGCGAGACAGCTCACGAGCCTGCCTTTATCACAAACGATAATGGCGGTGTGGATTATGGCAAAAGCGGTCCAAGTGGTGAGGCGTGGGAAGAGTCTAGACACATTTTGAGGGAGACAGATTTCCTCACCCATTGCGTGTGGTGCATCAAAAAAAGAGAGGAGCACAATAGTTTTGGGTCCGAGCAACTGAAAAATGGCCGTTCCCTGAAATGGGGAGGACAGACTAGCAGGAGTGCAGGTTTGTGTCTGTGGATTTGAGATTCCTGCCGGGTATCAGTGAGGGTGGCCCTGGTCCCAGAGCTCCTTCAGCCTGGCCGGAGAGGAGCCTCGAGATGGGCTTGATCTGGGGAAACAAGACCTGCTCATCACTTGCCTTTGGGACCTTGGAAAACCCCGTCCACCTCTCCAAGCCTGTGTCCCCAGCTGTCGAATAGCTAGGGTTGATTCGATTATTCTGAAGGGACCCGTCCATCTCAGACATGCTGAGATTGCAGGAATGTCACTTTGTTCTTTCTTAGTAGTGTTCTCTCTTAGCAGGGGCTCAAAGAAACTTTTCCTTCGTTGGTCCTTCTGGTCAGCCTCCTCTCCCCACAGAAAGGAAGTTCTTGAAGAATGAGGACCCACCAGGACTGACGAAATGCCTGTTCCTATTTCCTTACAGAGGCAGGGCTTCCTTGCTCTGAAATCTATTAAGATTCACCACTGACACCACATACCTGCCTGAGTTCACCAGTTAATTAACTGCCCATTCCGGTTTATTTGTCTTGTTTCATGGTAAGACTTTTCGATCTCATGAATGAACAGAAAGCGCTTCCAGATTTTTTTCTCACTCTGCACCAATGCAGCTGACCCACATTGGAACAGAAAGACATAACAGTTTAAAAGTGCACAATGGTGGTCTCCCCGAAGCAGACGGCCAAGTCTGATTACTGATAATGCCAATGGTCCCCAAAGCCCATGGCACATGCCAATCTCAGAAGATTGGCAGCCGCCCAAGGTTATAAAGGCCCAGAGGGTGGAATCAAAGCAGCAGGACTCCCTGAGGAAGACCCAGGATGAGAGGGGAGACGTTGGCTCCACCCAGGTTGGTCTGGGTCCCTGTGCAGGAAGGGCACCAGGACCCCAAAACCTGGGCTCTCAAATTTGCTGCCTGGCTATTGGAAGAGCCAAGGTTGGGGTCCAGTTTGGGGCCCATCATCTGAGCTCCAGGAGAGGATCCTGCTTCCTTTGCTCCGGGGACACATTTCCTAGGGCAGGGGACATTCGATTGCAATTCTCGAGAAATCATGATCTCCAGAGTCATCCCAGCCTCCCCCTCGAACACCTCCTGCCCCGTGCCGCGTCTGTCTCTCACCATGTCGTATGTGCCAGCTGCTGTCCCCTGAGCGGGGAGGGCAGTGGGGGGCCTCACCTTCCCTCTTCATGCCCATGACCAGGCACTTCTGGTAGCGGCAGTACTGGCAGCGGTTGCGCTGGCGCTTGTCGATGAGGCAGTCCTTGTTGTCGCGACAGGTGTAGATGAGGTCTTTCCTTATGGTTCTCTTGAAGAAGCCCTTGCAGCCTTCACAGCTGTACACACCGTAGTGCTTTCCTACTCGCAAGAACAAAACAGTCCTTAGGTTGTTCTTGTGTGTTTCCTTCTTTCATCCAAAAGAACCCCTTGCCCTCCCCCCCTCCGCCCGCCCTTCGCAGGGAAACTAGAAAAACACCTGGGCAGAAGGCAAAGGACGACGAGCAGAGAATGCAGGCAGATCCCAGGAGCCAAAGGCAGGCCCAGTAAACACGCCTCACGTTGTATCTTCCCTCTGGCACCTACTCTGGGAAATCGCTAATTCCAAGAGCATCATTAGAAAACTCCTGAGCTAAGATCTGATTTCATTTACACTTATTTTATCAAGGCAACTCTTGTGTTTAGTTAAACAAAATGGTCTGCCTCCATTCAAGACAGTAGTGTACATAATAAAAATATTTATGCTTGTTGGGTATCATCGAACAGGCAAAGAACCTCAGTTTCAATAATATTTCCCCATAAATGAGGCCCGAGGACTTAGGAATCCCCCTTGAAAGTGTTATCCTTCACTCTAAATTACGAACAGCCTCCTGAATTATGAATTTTTAAATGTTATTGCCAGCTGGAGAAATAAATTGGTATATGATCTTTATAGCACAATATGATGTGCAACCTCGAGATACAACGTAAAGGTCTGACGGAAGGTGGTTTTGTTTGATCCAGAATAACCTGTTATGGGTTCCATTGCCCTCATTACCTGTTCCACACATTCAGTTTCCAATGGCCCCAGGCAGGGAAGGCTAATTAGTGTCAGAAGAGCCACCACGCTCACCCCCCACACCCCCCCCCACAGGCATCAACAATCAATCCCAACACTCCTTCTAAGCCAAAGTCTTCTCAACACTACACACCAGGCAGCTATGCCCAATTGGTTGGAATTGTGGGACTTCAAAAATATAAGGAAACAGATAATTCAAAACATAGTTATGTCTGATTCTTGAGTCAATATGTGCAGCCGTTTAGCTGCAGACCTGATGTGACTTTCTAACGCAGCTGTATTTAGGCTGATATTAAAGTGAATTTGAATTCCCTGAAAATTAACAAATGTAAATATTTGCCTACCAGGACCTTGCATTTCAAAAGATATCCCTCTAAGATGAGACGGTGGCCGAGGCAGCTTGCCTAAGGAAAGTCAGTCTGTGCCTAATCAGTTGACTGTACTAATTTATGAACTCACATCAGTCATAAATACAAGATTTTATCTTGGGCTCAAAGAACCCAATGCTCTCAGCTCTACAGAATTTGTCTTTGAGAAACATTGGACCAATTTGTCACCTCCATGGCTCTTCGATATATAAATGGCCCTCCCAGACTTTCAATTAAACCATGGTCGAGAAAACTCCCATCAGGGTGGAGCTGGCATTCTGTTGCTATGGCAATGGCCAAGTCTGCATAACTTGGAAACAACTTTTTGAGAGCAAGCAAACATCGGCCAAATAAGTTCCAGGCTCCAGCAACTTTCAGTGGAGTGACATTTTGTAGTGATTTTGGTGACAAGAAGATGATGAAGAAATGGTCAGTCAGCCATCATCATGAACAGCTGTAGAAAAGAACCTTCCCCACCTGCTCACTCATCAAATCAAACATTCGATGTCTTCAAAACAGGTGGGGTAGGGACTTGGGGGCAGTAATGATGGAAGAAGAGAAAGGCGTCAAAAAAGAAATAACTGGGGCAAAAGTGGAAGAGGATCGAAGAAGATGAAATCAGTGAAAACACATTTATTTCCACCCATGAAAACGTGAAAAACCTAGAATGTTATAGAAGAAAATATGTTAAAATATTAAAGGGTTTGCCTTTGTTAGGAACATTATAGATCATTTTTTTCAGTTTTCTTTTCTAGTTCTTCCAAATTTTCTACATTGGGACATTATTTTTAGAATTTATATATATAATAAATATATTTATAAATACATTTATTTATATATATAAATACATATATTTATATATGTATAAAACTCTAGCTTGAGATACTAGCTAATCACAACAGCTTCTCTATCCCAGATATATACTCAACACAGTAACTCCAGGGCGGGGGTGGGGGGGGCGGAGCTTCTGATGTGTTTCCTATCAATCTAATCCTCAAAAATGAAGTCATACTTTAAATTCATCAAGACTGCAGGCTGTGAGCCCAGTGACAGGAGTTTACAGCCTGGGCTCCAAGCTGGACCATCCTAAATGGTCCTCTTCTTTCATCGGGAACCAAGTAGCAGGTAGACAGTGGAGCTGCGCCTTCTCCGGGACCCCCGTTGCCAGGGGCACTAGGGAGGGACCTCTTGCTGTTGCACATACCTGAGGATCTGTCCCCACAGATGGCACAGATATGTTTAACCAGAGACCCCGGGCTGGTGGACAGGTAGTTCATGTTTCCAATCCCAGGAAGCCCTGGTAAGGGCTTGATGTCCTCTGAAATGCTGACACTGTTGACCACATTGAGCTGTGAGAGAAAAAAAAATACAATAAAACACAGAGCCAGGTAATCCCAACCCACAAGGCTGAAAGCAACAAGGGTATCCTTGAGAAAAAGCAAGGTTTATTTCAAGAAGTAGTTTCCAGAGAATTCCAGGCAAGACGGTGGGGTGAGTAAACACTGTGCTTACTCCTTAGGCAAGGGAAACAAGAGAAAAAATAAACAAATGGGACTACATTAAACTAAAATGTTTTGCATAGCAAAGGAAACCATCAACAAAATGAAAAGACAACCTATTGAGTGGGAAAAGCCATTTGCCAATGATACATCCAATAAGGGGTTAATATTCAAAATTTATAAAGAACTCATACAACTCAACACCAAAAAAAACAAACAGCCCACTTAAAAAAATGGGCAGAGGACATGAGGAGACATTTCTCCAAAGAGGACATACAGATGAGCAACAGACATATGAAAAGATGTTCAATGTCACTCATCATCAGAGAAATGCAAATATAAACCACATGAGATACCACCTCACTCCCATCAGAATGGCCATCATCAGTAAGTCAACAAACAACAGATGTTGGTGAAAATGTGGGGAAAAGGGGACCCTCATGCACTATTGGTGGAAAAGTAAATTGGTGCAGCCACCATGGAAAACAGTACGGAGGTTCCTCAAAAAATTAAAAATACGACTACCATATGACCCAGCAATCCCACTTCTGGGTGTTTACCTGAAGAAAACACACTAATATGAAAAGATATCTGCACCCCTATGTTCACTGCAGCGCTATTCACAATAGCCAAGATACGGAAACAACCAAAGTGTCCATCAGTAGACAGCAGACAGTTGGATAAATAAGACATGGTACATACATACGGTGGAGTATTACTCGGCCATAAAAAGGAATGAAATCTTACCATCTGCGACAACATGGATGGGCCTAAACGGTATAATGCTAAGTGAAATAAGTCAGACAGAGAAAGATAAATACTGTATGGTCTCGCTTATATGTGGAATCTAAAGAACAAAATAAACGAACAACCTAAACAAAAATAGACCCATAGATACAGAGAACAAGCCGATGGTGGCCAGATGGGAGCGGGGTTGAGAAAGCCAGAGGGATGGAGACGTACAAATCGGTGGTTACAAAACAGTCACGGGGATGTGAAGTCCAGCACAGGGAACATAGTCAATAATATTGTAATAACCATGGATGGTGCCAGGTGGGCCTTAGACTTATCAGGGTGATCACTTTGTAAGTTCTATAAACGTCTAACCACTACGCTGTACACCTGAAAGTAATATAAAATAATATGAAATGTCAGCTGTAATTGAAAAAAAAAATTTTTAATAAAAAATATTTTTTCTCTACCCCCAAAAAAGGACTTTCCAAGCACAGAGTATCTACGAATGCCTCTGTGTGATGTGAATTTAAGGGAGAAAACGGGTGGGGTAAGAGGGGCTAAGTCATTTCTAGAAGCCAAAACATAAACCAAAAATCACCACACACCTGTATCCGAGCTCTCGGCTGTTGCTTCGCTCGTGCGTCCTGGGTGAGCTGGAAACCCACACGGAACGACACTCTTCGGCCAATTCCACCGTGTGTTTTTTAATTTTTTATTAAGTCCTGCCTCTGCAGCCATGCTCCAAAAGGAGGTAGAGCCCTCCGGCAAAAGGCAGGCTCCCAGAGAGCCAAGAAACCCTTCGAATCCCTTCACTTAACCAGTCAACAAACATTCACCGAGCGCTCCCCAAGCCGGCGCTGTGCCAGCCCGGGGCACGGGATGGATAAAAACGCACGCCCTTAGGAGTTCCCAGTAAAATGGAAGAGAGGACATGTGCGCGGTCATCTCAAGGACCCATGAAGATGCTGGACCAAATGCCCAAATCATTGCAGTGCCACCAAAAACGGAGCAGAAAGCCCCAGGCCATGTTTTTGAAGGAGCAAATGATCTTTCCATGAAAGTAGAAGACATGTGGAAGCAGAGACTGTCGGCTTTGTGTTCCCAGCGCCCATGTGGGCCCGGCACATGGCGGGAGCGGACCCATGAAGCTAGCGTGCGCCCCTCAGTGTGCCCCAGTCACAGCCAGCACCCCCTTGGACTCTTGGAGAGACAACCCCTTGGCAGGACTCTTGGAGAGACACCACTTCTAAGGGTTTTGATTCATCAAAGGAAACAAGTTAGAGAAACGCAAGCCAGAAACCCGTCAGCGGCACTTCTGAGTGCCCGGGGCTACAGGTCTACAGCCTGGGCACTGAGGAACGCCGTACGGGGTCTGGACAGCCTGCCTCTCAGGGCTCAAAAATGCACACTCTCACTGAGGAGTCAGACAAGCACCGAAATAGAGAAACTTCCGAGGTGATGCGGAGTTGCTGAAGGGCCCCGTAGGGGCAGCTGGGGGCCATGTGGGGGTTCAAGGGCGGGCCTCCGTCTTCAGGATGGTCCACGTGGCATGTGTCACGTTGCCTAACCAAAGTCACCGTGATTCTCATGCTGAGCCAAAGGTAGGATTTTTCTCCTCTAGTCAAAGCCTTTGGGACAGAAGGAATGATCAATAAAACATGAAATGCAACAGAGGCTGAGTGAGGTTCCTTCTAGATGCACGGGCTTTTTCCACTCGCTCGGCATTTACTGCGTACAGGAGCCGGGCACAGGCGCTGGCTTAAACGCAGGAGGCATGCAAACAAGAAGCCACAGCCTTCAGCACCCTGGAATCAAAGTCACCAAGAACTTTTAAAAATTAATTTGCCTGAGGGACAAAAACACGTATGTGATGAGAGAATTCTCTCTCCTCCTCCTTTTGATGCAAGGCTAAGACAAGACGTCGCCATCTTACATCCAGCATGTTGTTGGTTTATGGAATGCAGCAGTTCTCGGCCCTGCATGTATGCCTGGGAGCTTTGAAATGAAGGGATGTCTGGACCCCACATCCAGAAATTATGACTCACTGGGCCTGAGGGCCACAGGTCCTGGCATTCCGTTAAGTTTGCCAGGTAAAGCTGTGCAGCCAGGGTTAAGGATTACTGGGGCCTGCGGGTGACTCCCAGCCTGGCCCCCACTGGCTGCACGACTTCAAAGAAGTCACCTGTCCTCTGATTCAGTTTCCTATCAGTAAACTGAGCGTTGTAACACCTAACGTACAGAGTCTAGATGAGACAGTGATGTAAGATGCCCATCACAACGCCTGGCACACAGTAGGCAGTTCGTGATGGTAGCTATTATCGTTCCAATAAAATCGGCTTAATTCAGACTGGAATTCTGAGCCTTTATTTACGAGCCAGCATTCCACCAATGTGCTAGGAATTCCGCAGTCAACGAGGCCAGACCCACCAAGGAGGTTAAATGATTCCATTTCTTAGCTGGGGGCTGTCAGAAAATTATTTGATGTTGTCATAATACTAGGTTGTTATTATTTCAAGATATGTGATACATTTAGATGCATACTGATTTTTAAGAAACAGATGATGACCCCAAAGAAAGAGCTCTCCAACTGACCATGACTCTGTCCCCAAATCCTCAGACGGGCAAGAAAGTTCATGGGAACAGGGAGAGGACACCATCGCTGGGGTCAGGAGGTCCTCACCCACCGTCTCCTCCCTCAGGACCGGCTCTGGCAGCCTGCAGCCATCACAGAAAGGAATTACTGTTATTGTTACGGCTCGGGTTGCCATCCCTGGAAAGCTTGCCCAGCGCGAAGGAAGTATTTCAACCCTCACAACAACCCTATTTTTCAGATGAGGAAAAGGAGCCTTCAAGTGGTGTACTCGTTTGTTCGTTCAGAAATCCTACGGGGGATGAAAATGGAAGAAGATGCAGTCACCGGCTCAAGGAACTGGCCACTGGTGTAGTGGGTTACAGGCCAGTTAGGGCAGCTCAGGAAGGAAAGACTACACACAGCGGAGATCAGGGAAGACTTCCTGAAGGAAGAGGCATTTGGCTGGGACGCGATGGCTTCACAAATAGGTAGGATCTGGATAGGCCGGTGATGGGCAAAAGGCCTCGAGAACAGCAGCTGGGAGTGAAGCCCAGGTGTCTGTCCGGTGGATGGATGGGAGAGAGAGTGGGACGCAGGCTGTGACCGGGCCGGGGCTTGACGGCCTGGCTAAGGGAAGTGGATTTAAGTTAGGGGGCACTGAGGAGCCACTAGAGGCTCTGAGCACGGAAATAAGGTCCTCAAAACTGCCTCAGTGAGGTCAATGGGGCAGCAGCACTGGGGAAGGCGGGCAGAGACACCCAAGGCTATGCACCTGCCCAGGTACCAGTTAGGTGCCTTCCCGGGTCTAACAGGCTGAAGCTAGGACGCAGGTCATCATTCCTCCCTTACCACACTGCCTGTCTCATGTGCCAGGAGACCCTCAGGCCTCCAGCTATGGCAGCTTCCCGTCCCTGGAGCAACCCCTCCCCTCGCCCCTCCACCTCGTGAATCAGGATGGTGGTGGGAGGGAGTGGCTGGGCAGGTGCATGGGTGCCCTCCTCCATCAGCCCCTCTGCAGCTTGGGGTTTGTGTGAGCTCAGAGCAATGGCAAGAGATGGAAGGCAGCCGCCAGAGTGCAAACCCATTAGCCGCCTGCCCCCCACTCCGCCCTCCACCCCCCATTGTCTTCTTCCATTAGAAGCAGCTCAGTGAAGGAAGCACTTTGCAGCCGGCTTCACCAGGCGGCCGGCTGTCCCGCGAGAACAGGGTGGAAACGCACTTGGCCGGCCTGTCCGCCCTTGGCGGACTCAGCCGGGAATGAGCAGGGCTTCCTGGGTGCCCTGCGGCCATCACAAACACTAGGTACCCCGTTTCTGAGCTGCTCTCATCCCAAATTACTCCACTGAAGGCAGATACGTGGCCGGCCGGCTGGTTACAGGCAGGCGCTCCTTTTCCGGGAAACGGACCCCTTCAGGTGGCGCTCCGTTCCTCTAACGGGGGTCTTTGTCAGGAGGAGAGGAGCCCTGGGTTCCATCCACACCTGCCACTTCCTCACTGTGCCATCGTGGCCAGGTCACCCCACAGAGGCACGGTCAGTGGTCTCCAGGCTCAGCGCGGGTGACGGGGTGCGGGGAGACGAGGAAGATGCACGTCACCTGCCCCTGTTCACAGGCCGGCTTTTGTTCGGCATGAACATTAGGCTTTCAAAGGTGCTTTCACCTGAAGAAATGGCGCTATGCCAAATTTTTAAAATTTATTGAACAAGATGATCTTTAAGGTCTGTTCTAGCGCTAACGTTTACAACTGTTATTGCCTCAGTATTTTGTATAATAATGCAAACACCTGAAAGGATAACAGCTCAGTTATCAGTCACCACCAGGGCAGGAATTCTCCGGACACAACCCCGGTCAGGCAGCTGGGTCGGGAGGGGAGAGCGAGTGTGAGCGTGTCAAGGACACTCAGGGCGAGTTCCAGGTGCAGCCAACAGGCATCACACTTAGATATGCAGCAATTCACATGCACATACACATACACACATATACACACTCACACACACACACACACTCACACTCACACTCGGGAAAATGAGGCCTAGCTCATTTTGCCTGGAAGCTGCATAAATATCTTCCCAATTACACAGCTGGTGTTTTGAAGATTGTTCACCCACTCAGACACTCGCCAGGGCAGACCCCAGTCTGACACATTTTTAATCTCTAGCACCAAGTTCAGGGAATTCCTCTAGAGCCTTCCAGCAACACAGGACACCTGAATCAATGATCAGGTGTATAATAGACGTCCCCCAGGTCCAATAACCATAAAAATAATAAACTTATTGCCATAGAGCACTGTAGGCACTTACGCAGCAATTTTCCAAATCCACGTCTCCTCTGATTTTCATAAAATCAGGGCCGGATTTGCTAGCCCACAATAGAAGAGAAGGAGCTGAGAGATGTGAGGGGTTCACAAACGGTGACACAGTCCCTGTCTCCAGAGTCAGGTCAGCTTTCATTCCTCTTCACCACGGAAGGTCCAACAAGAGCAGCTGGAGAAGCTACACGACCGAGTGAGCGCTCAGAACAGGAGACCCGCCTGCCTGCTGCTCCCACCGAGCACCCCCAACCCCTCGTCCTCTCACCCCAGTCGGAGGACTTACCCCAGACCCAGGTCACGGGAGGAAAGCCCTCTCAGGTCCCATCCTGCCTAAGGACGGCACGATACAGTTATTCAGATTGTTCCGGCTCCAACTCGCTGTGGTCACACCGAGGGCACGGGATGTCCTGTGTCCTCTAGTTAACTGGGAGAAGTGTCGCTGCCGTGTGGCTGTGCAGCCCCAGCCCACACGCTGCTCAGTGTCTGGGGCCGCTGAGCTCCACCAGCTCTTGGCAAGCTGAATATAGCTCCCAAGCAGACTTGGCCTCGGCCTCTGCACACAGCCCAGTTGGCCAGGACCAAGCTTTCAGCTGACCTTTCAACCCTAGTCCCTCTGTACAGACATACGGTCCAGGAATAGCGGCCCAGCCACGCACACGGCTGTGAAGATGAATTTACGGGCCAGCTTGGGCCTGTCAGACCACAGCCTGGCTGCTAAGAGCAGGCCTGCCCACTCCCCACCCACCAGCCCGGCAGCCATCTACCACCTCACCCTGTTTATTGCTTCATGGGTATAGTGACTGCTATCTGAAACTATCTCGTTCATTCCTTTGGTTTCTGTCCATCTTGCCTGCTCCGGTGTAACTGCAGTGAGAAAAAACTCCAGCCACCTGTTCAGAGCTTATCCCCAGAACTTAGGACAGTGTCACATGGTGCCTAATACACAGGAGGACCTCAAACATGGGTATTTGGGGGAACGAAAGTCCTTTGCAAATTTTCACTTTTTCTCCCAGAACTTCAACATCTCTTTCTGTCTCTAACCTACTGGCTTTGACCTGTTTTCCTGGAATCCAGTCACATGAAGAAAAATGAATAAACCAACCTGCTGAGGGTCCCCCATCCTGCAGGGCAGGGCATCACCAGCTCTGTGGATGGCAGGGTGCGAGAGAGGCATCAGTACCCGTCCATCCCCACCGCTGTCCGGTCCCCACTCCTCTGAGGGGCCACACACCCTTGTGGGACATCGACAGGCTAGTTCGCAGGTATCATTTCTGTGCTCCCTTCAGTTCTGCCCCTACGCCTAGGATAGCACATACGACACTACATCGCAGTCAGCTGCATGACGCAGCACGTCCGTCCCCCGCGAGGCCCCACGGAGGCACCGATTGGCTCCTAACCCCCCACAGCCTTTGCACCGTGTCTCTGTAGCACCTCCCACCACGATAGGCACAGCCTGTCTCCCTGCCCCATGCACCTCGGAGTCAGCCAGACGGTTTTCTCAGGCCAACGGGATGTTCGTGGACCTGGCGAGCAGAGACCCCACTGTGCTTTCCTGATTCTGTTTGGACTTTGGTGTGGCTGCGACACAGCACAAAGACAGTGTGCCCTGACCAGTCGGGGACACGAGGAGCAGACTTGCACCCAGCCGCAGCCCAGCCCGGCTCACCCACCCTCTGGAGCAGAGCCAGCCTGACCAACATGCAAACTCTGAGTGAAAAAAAAATGCGTGTGCTTCTGCGACACACGACAAATTGGGGGTTGGTTGTTGTTCGGCACTGTTACAGCAACAGCTGACCACTACGAGGCGGGAAGGCTGCTGACCTCAGCGTGGCCGTGCTAGAAGGAAGCGAAAGGCGTCGGGCCACCCTCTAGGTCCCTAGAACAGCAGCTTTGTGTGCGCCACGCATCAGCCCCTCTCCTGAGAAATGCTGAATTCCCCGCCAGGGCCAAACCCGTAGGATGCTCCCTTTGGGCCACAGTCTCCCAGACCGTGAGGCACCGTTGGTTCTCCAGGGCTGCCTGCTTGGCGCATTCATAAAGGCCCCGTACGCACGAGGGAAGTCTGCAGAGACAGCCCGGTCCCTTTGGCGGGCACACCCCAAGCACCTGTGGAGGGGCAGCCCGGCTGACATCGGCTGGAAGGACACTTACCTGGGAGCTGGGTGGGGCAACCAGGTTGATTCCTGGTGGGGCTGCCAGAGCTCCTGAGGGCGGGCCCATGGTGGACGTGATGACGCGATACGGAGAGCCCAGGGCATTGAGGGGGCTGCCCACCACACTCAGGGTCCGCGGAGCACTGACCGGGGTGTCCGTGTAGCTGGGGTGGCTGTCCATCGGCTTCCCTGTGGACAAGGCTGCTGACGGGCTCATGGACGTGGAGCCGGAGTGGCCGGGGGAGCCTGTAGGGAGGAGACGGGCATAGGTGATGGAGGCCGGGGGAGTGCAGAGGTGGGCTGGAACCCCAGGTGCTCACTCCGCACCGAGCACAGCAAGCGGAGAGCAGAGGGGAGAGGACCCTCACTGAAGGTTAGTTCTCTGGGCCCCCCGGAAGCCACCTTGGACTGCATCAGGTCAGCAGCCAGGGCCACGGGGCACAGCCCACAGGACCATCCTGGTCCCCGGGGATGGGCCAGCCACACCGGGAGGATGAGACAATACCAACCCCCCTGCCCCAGGTAAGGTGCAGTGAGCAGGTGCCCAGGCTGCTCCAGAATTCGTTGCCTCAAAGTCCTGTGGCTGAGACCTGGGCGGGGCTGCACCTGCAAGTCGGAGAGAGTCATTCACTCACAACAGCCCCCACGTGCTGGTCCTAACAAACGTGTATGAAGGTGCCACGTGCCGGGGGTTCACAGCCCAAGAGAACACAGCTCACCCCCCACCCCCCTGGCAACCACCAAGCTGTTCGGGGTCTCTGGGAGGCCGGCTTTTGTTTTGCTTTGTTTTAGACTCCCCGTGTATGTGTGCTGGCACGGTAATTGTCTTTCTCTGCCTGGCTTATCTCACGTAGCACAATGCCCTCAAGGTCCATCTATGTTGTCGCAAATGCCAGGATTTCCCCCCTTTTTATGACACTGATATTCCGTTGCACAGACTACATGCCACGTCTCCTCTATCCATCCATCCATCAGTGGACACTGAGGCTGCTTCCGTGTCTCGCCTTGTGAATACGGCTGCGATGAACACGGGGTGATACACCTTTCCGAGTCAGTGTTTTCGCCGTGGGGCACGTCTTAAACATAAACATCTCCGTGGGAAAAGGTCCAGCTGGAGTTTCTCTTGAGCTTCTGCTCGCTCGTTAGGGCCTAGCTGTGGAGAGAACAGTCCCTGCCATGCCCGAGAGCCCTGTGGCCTGGCCTCATTCTAGCTGGACGGTTTCAGTCTATCGGGACAGCTAATCAACAGATAACTCCCAACCACCACGTTCTAAGTCCCACAGCTGGCTGTGAGAGCATGGCGGAGTGGGGAGGGCTCAGATGAACAGGTCAGACGTTAATTACGTGGCCTGAATAACACCAATCTCCACATGGAAACTCATGTTATCCTGACCGTAAGCCTGTGAAGACCACTTCAGCCTCTTACATGTGAGGAAACTTCAGCTGTCTCACCCCCATGCTGCCCCCAGCTCCAGGATGACCTGTCCCCACCTCTGTTGTCCAGTGAAACCTTATTCATCCTTCAAGGTCTGACTCAAGGGTCACCTCCTCCAGGAAGCCTTCGCTGGTATTTCTGGTCTGGTCTGATGCTCTTTTCTGTTTTCTAAATAACCGCCTGTTTCTTTCCCTGTCTCTTCCACTAAACGGAGAGGGAGGAACGTGTCCGGTTTTTGTTTCCCCACCTCAAGCACGGTACCTGGCACTGGCCGGGTAGGAAGTAACAAAGCCCAGATTCAAACTGTTAGTGTGAAGGCCAGGCTCTCTCCTGCGTGACTGTCAAGGACAGCAGAGATGAGCTGAAGACCCGTCACATCACAAAGCACAGGACGGCTCAATTCTGAAGTGAATTCAAGCCGAAAGTTCATCTGAAGGAGACAGAAGAGGGCAGCTTCCAGGAACTCAAGCCAGAAAAACCCCAATCTCCCCAGGCGGCTACCGACTGAGACTCTGAGGCGCTGGAAGGCGGTGACATTTACAGAAGCCAGGGTATACCTTGAGCCTGTCACTCACAGGGCATGTGACCTGATGGGCAAGGAGCCATGAGCTCCACTGGGAGGGCAGCCGTCCTCCCCCACGGCCACGCCATCTGAAGGAAATCGACCTTCCCTTCCCGCTCCGGCTTTCCAAAAACAGACCAAAGGGCCTGCCATGGTCGTTTTTATTCTGCTTCTCACGAATCTCAGAGACACGGTGCCTTTCATTTCCATCCCCCGTCCTCTGCCCCCCGGGCGACACCCAGTACCTGACACCAGTCCTAGAGCTACAGGACAGACAGAAACACGTTCATCAACCCAGGAGTTCCCATGGCGTAGGACCTGTGCCACCCGTGGGAAGAGACCTTGTCGGTGGTATGGAAGCAAACTTGGTAAAATATTAGTAGTTTTATGTTTATTTTTCCTGTTTCCTTCTGTTTGTGGCATGTGACTGAGCTTCTGTTTTTGCATGGAATTATCTTCCCCAAAATAGCTATTTAAGTTTAAAAAAAGAAAAAGAAGAAGAAGAAACAGAAGAAGGAATTCACCTAAGAGAAAGTTACACTCCATGTACAAGGAAACTCAATATGTAGAATATCATGAAATTAGTCTGCAAAGGCACGATACCTGAGAAACATCTATCGACCTGCACGAAAATATACAAATAGGGGCTTTGGAGAACTCAAAAGTTGTTTCAAGAATAAAATGAGATGACGTGAGAGAGATTTGAAATTTAAAGCACATTTTTAATAATAATAATAATAATAATAATAATAATAATAATAATAATAATTAGGACTATCAGAATACAGTCCTTGACCAATTGGTGAGAATGGTGCACTGCAAGATAGAATGAAACAGTGAGTTAAAGCTTGGTTTGCAGGGCTTTAAAAATGTGGTTTTGTTTCTACTGAGTCAGTGACCCAGAAGAAGGGGGCTACTTCATAACTACATTTTTTAAAACTACAACTCGCAAAGGCAAATAATACATCTCACACAAATGCATTTGGGTTCTCTGCCCCTCACAATGACCCAGGATGGGCTCTTAGGAATAAGCAGCTTTGCTTTTAGAAAAGGTGAGAAACAATGACCTTGGTGACAAAAGTGTTTCTCCGCGGAAATGTCGTCCCTTCTCACAGGTAGATACTAAAGCACCCCTGTGGGTGACATCTTTCTTGGCTGCGCTCATCTCACTCCTTTTCTGTCACAGCCACACAGGACACCAGCCAGGACCACAGGCACCACACACTTTCCAGAAACCAGGTTTCCGGTCCAAATCCAAAGCCGAGGCTCTCTCTGCGGCTTCTCCCTGGTCCTCCAGCCGGTGCCCCTGCTCTGCCTCCCATCGGCCTCACCTGCTCCCGACCTGACACCCTCTGGACCCACTCAAGTCGCACCCGCGGCCAGATGCCTGGACAACGCACCGTTCCGCACCCCACACAGCTCGTTGTCTTTGCTCGGGCACTGGTTCTAATAAAAATTAACTTATCTGATGGAAAAGGGCTGGCAGACTTCTTCAGGAGCTTCGCTTCTCTCCTACGACCCACCTAGGGAAGGCTTTCACATCCCTGAGCCCCCTTCTCCCAGGAAGACACCTGCGCTCGGTGCCACTAGGACCCTCCAGCCTTGTTCCCGAGCACTGAGGTGGCATGTGGCTCTCTGGCATCTAAAAGAAGGCAGTGCGGGTGGCAGTCTGGAATGGGCTGCGTCTGCACTGGGAGCCCGGTCCTCCTCAGCTGGACCGTGTCAGACCTTCCGGTTCTCAGGGTCACCAGGAACCAGAGCTGCTGGGAATCTGTCACTTTCTAAAGTTGCTGAGGGCACCGTGGCACTATGGCATCAGGGGGCAGTCTACAAGAAGACAGGGCTCTGAAGCCGAAACCTCCTAGGTTGGAGCTGAGGTCCTGACCTCTCCGAACCACAGTTTCCTCACCTACAAATGGAGACACACACAACCTCTGGCCCAGTGGCAGCAGCTGCAATTCTGTCCTATACTGTAAACGTTGTGACATTGTGACGGAGAGGCTGCATCTGGCCTGGTGCCATAGTAGACTGTGTACGTAAAGGGTTTAGCCCAAGCCAGGCCGATAGCAAATGCTCTATTAAGGACAGCCACTGCCGTACACTGGTAGGGACACACCAGTTGTGTGTAATACTTAATTTTCTAAATTGGTTAGTAAATCGCCTGCTCTGGGCCCAGAGTGTCCCTCTATCCCCCCAGCTACCTCTCCGCTTGGACCCGCCCCAGCTTCCGTAATACAAACTGACACACAGAGGTCCTCCATGCTGACTTCCCTCTGAATGTCTGTTGCCCTACTGGTGGTCACGTAGCTTTACTTTCACCCCCTTGCTGCCAGCAGTTATCACTGAGCGCACAGCACTTGCCTGAAATGCGGTAGATGCTCAAAAGATATTTACTGACTAACCAATGAATGGGATACATTTTTTGCTAATTAACGTATATCGCCATATATAGAGCTCATCAGTAGACATTGTTTGCATTAAGACATCTATGTCCCTGATGTTTACCAAAACCAAAACCTTTTAAATCTTTGAATAACAAACTGTGTGTGTGTGTGTGTGTGTGTGTGTGTGTGTGTGTGTGTGTCTGTGTGTGTGTGTGGTGAGGGGGACTTACTAAGAAAGAGCGGGCCCTGGTACTTAGAACTACAGAATTCTTACCAAGGTGAGGAGGTTGCTTAGCAACCTCATCCTCCGCCAATAAGAGCAAAATGCCACGCATGGGTCTTCCTGATTGGCTGGGCAGGAGCAAATGGCGTGGTGTTCCCACCCATTTGCTGCTGTGTCAGGGCAGAGAGCTTGCTGTCCCATGAGCAACACTCTTCAGGTCGAAATGGAAACTTGTAGTGAATCGCTGATAACTATTAATACCCACCCACGGGGAAGGGGACAGAGGAAAACACCTGCTATTTCTAAGAGCCAGTTCCCGCCATCGGAAGTCAGGGAGCGCACGGCGACCCGACCCTGCTCTCCCCGCGGGGCGCACCATCGCCTGCCTCTTCCGCCCCGACGGAGGGATGGATGCCTCCGCCTGAGAATCAGGGAACGTTCAGACCCCTGGCCCGTTCTTCCTACCCTAAGGGGAACTCACTCATACACTTCTTCCTGCTCGGCCAGCAACACACTGGCAGGCTAAGAGGGGTAGGCGGGGGCTGGCACGCGAGGGCACTTTGATGTCACCCCCTCCACTGCGTAACAGCAACGATGGCAACAGATAGTGTTTGTTAAGCAACTGCCACGAGCCAGACATGG